TCTGTCACTCCCTGGAGCACTCAGGAGAAAAGCTCCTACAGCCGAATCAGCATCCTATCCTGGGAGAGACCTGCAGGGGCCCAGCTGCCCAGCCTCCCTGCAGTGGGGTGGGCTGTGGGCCATGAAGAGGGCCTGAGCCCAGCTCCTACACTTCTGCTGCACCCAGTCTAGGAGCCAAGATCACAGTGATCAGCTGAGTGACAGGAACGGGCAGACACGCGGTGGTGTAAACTGCCCTCCTTCTCAAGTAAGGTTTCCTTCCCTCTTCACTTCATGCTGACAGCTCTTCTCTGTGAGCAGCAATGGTCCATCAGGCCATGGGGACCTCTTCATGGAGCCACTCACTAACCTAGGAAACCGGGCAGCATGGTCTCCCTGACCCCTGCCCAGGAGGTCTCCCTAGGAAGACATCCCTGGATGTGATGCTTTCAAGTCACTAAGTGCTGAATTTGAATCAAGAGAAGCAAAGCAGGTGCCCCAGAATCAAGGCAAACAAGCAGAGAGCAGCAAGCTCCCAACCAGCAGGCACTGGAGGGAATGCAGGGATCACCAGGCACACAGGCAGGGCCTGCAGCTGTCATCCAACAGGGTGGCCAGGGTAGATCACCTGGCACCTCTCTGCTCCCCAAGGGCCCCACAGACAGGACTTCTTGATGCAACCCAGGAACATTGTAAACACACAGAGGCTGCTAAGACCTGGAGGGTTGAGTCCTGTGGCCAAGGCCACCGCATCCAGGCATCAAGCGCCCGAGGGAGCCACTTCCAGGCACCACAGTCTCCCCTCCCTCAGTGGTGTAGGGGGAAGTGGGTGTTCACCCAGCAGAGCTGCTGTGCTCATCCCTTGCTGCAGAGAAACAGCCGCATGCACACCAACCCTGTAGTGAGGCCCCAGCCAGGGGTTTGAGGTGGAGCAGGCTGATGACAGGAAGGGATGGAAGAACCAACAGAGCCCAGAGCAGCAACCACAACTGAAGCAGTGGGCAGGAGAAGATGGGACTAGTCTGGCCAAGCCCATAGGAACTCCAGAAGATGGAGCCATCCACCTGAACACGGCTGATTCAAGGGGCCTTAAGCACCAAGGGGAGGAGACCCCAGGCCTCGCTTCTCCTCCGATAGCACAGAAGTGGAGCTCATCATGAGGTCCTGTGTAGAGACACCCTTGCCCTGCCTGCCAAGTGGGTGCCAACAGGAGGATATCCTGAGGGTGGCCAGGTGGGGACAACTGGGCCACAGAGCCACCCCCCCTCCCTGCAGGTCAGGTACCACCAGCCACACCTGCTGCTGCTGGTGGGAATGCGATTTGAAGGACTGCTCACTTCCTAGGGTGCAGAGCATTGTGGTGGGAGGTGGAAGTAGAAGGTGTGCACTGTGAACATGCCTCCCGTGGTACCGCAGTGTGCTCACCACCGAAATAAGCCAACCCGAAACAGAAAGAAGGGACCAGCAGGGATCAAGATGAGCAACATTTGAAGCACAAACCATGGTGGGCTCTGGTGAGAAGGCTGTCTGGGACTCAGCAATAGCACCCGCAACTGCCATTCCCAAGCTCATGGTATTGTTTACAGAATCACACACGAGGCAACCTGGGATTGCCCAAGGTCAGAGGCCAGGCCCTCGGGGCCTGTGCTAAGATGCCACCAAGGATTCTTGGGAGGGTTCCCAGGCCCTCTTCGGCCAGGGTGACTGTGCAGCCCCTCAAGGACAGTGTCTCCTGACTGTAAGTGGAGGTGAGGAGCCACAGTGTCCACTCCAGGCAGCACTACCGAGGCTGCATGTCTGACTGCCCTGGTCGTGGACGCAGGAAAGATGCACTCTGTACTGGAAGCAGTGGCCAGGTCAAGTGTGACCAGGCTCAGTACTAGCTTGGTGGCTTGGTGGCCACCAGGGCACCCTCCCCAACAGAAGTACAAACAGGCACCTGAGCCCTGCATGGGAAGCTTTCTGCAGGACAGGAACACAGACAGTCAGTGTGGGGAAGGAGCAGGCCAAGGCCTCCCAGGTATATGAGGTGGCGTTCAGCTTTCTGGACTAGCAAGTGGCCTTGCTACCCCAACCCATGAGCCATAGGTCCACACTGGGCTAACAGTGCAGATGGCCACCACTTAATACCTTGTATTCACAAAGCTGGAAATGATCAGCAAGACACTGAGGGAGGCATCCCAGCTGTCCTGAATTCTCTTGTGGTCAGCAGTGAGGCTCTGGGAACTGCTCAGCTCCAACCATGGCTCACAGGAATCAAGCCAGGCTCAGGGTGTACATGTGAATCCTAACCTGTCCCCTTGTCCCTCACACAGCACCTGGGAAGCTCTCGAGTGCACATCTGAGGCCTCTCCTTACAAACATGAAGTTGGGGAGAGAAATTGCCTTTCAAAGCCAGCATCATGTAGGGCAGTTCCAGGCAGCTCCAAGAACCCAGGAAAAACCACCCAACACTGGGGTACTGCAGACAGACCCCAGAGCACATGCCTGCCCATGCACCAGCACACCCTCCAGGAGCTCTGCTGCAATAAGGACCATGCTGGGGAGGGGACCCCAGCTAAGGTTCGGGGATCTTATTCATTTGAGTCCAATAAAAGGAACTTCCTGTCTTTGCTTTCAAATTCATTCCAGACAAGGAGCTTCTCCTCAGCTTGCCTCTGACGGCAGCACTTCGCAGAAAGTAGAGTGGAGAACTCAATGTTGGCACTTGGGATCTGTGTCCTGCTCCCTCCAGGGAACCCAAGGCCCAGGCAGCACTGGATCAAAGCACACAGGCAAAACAAGCCACCTGGGCTGCAGTGCAGACAGAATCAGGACAATCAGTCTGCTGGGCAGAGATATGGCATCTATCACATCTCAGAGACAAGGGACAGGAAAGCACTATTATAGGCTGCCCTTCTGGGAGGGTAAGGTGTGTCACACAGGGTGGCACAGGGCTTGTTTTCCCCAGACACCTGTGGGCAGGAAGAGGTACTTTTTGACTCAGAGTTGAAACAGCAGAATGTTCCACAAACAGGAGCTGTCAAGGGAGTAGAGGGCACCTTGACATGGGATTTCAGGGAATAACACATTCAGTCAGCCGTCACATGGGACCTGGCTTCCCAGGGAAGTGCCTTCCTCCTTTGGCATGAAAAGCTCAGGAAATGATGCTTTGCAGCAGTACAGGCCTCACCCAGGAGGCCTGTGATGCTGGGAGGCCTGGGGACTGTGACTCAGACCCCATGAGACTCTGACATGACACCTGGGAGCTCAGCATTGAGCATCTGTGTCCCCCAGGTCTGGAGGCTGCAAGACTGAGGCCCAGGTGGGACCGAGGTGGTCCTCGCAGCCCTCATAGGGGGTGGCAGAGCAGGACTGAGAGTGTGGCCTGTGTGTGACCTGCCAGACACATGGCCACTGCTCAAGCCCGAAGCTGAATCTGGTCACAACCCCAGGAGCAGCCCAAGTGTGACCCACGCAGGCAGGATAATCATGAATAGACATCCATGTGTGCCTCCCAGAGGCCTCTGGAAGGTCCCAAGGCCTCCCACGCAGATGCAGCTACTTGAGGAGGAGGTCTGCCTGGGAGGCGACTCAGACACCCCCAGGGATAAGCAGGGCAAGAGGAAAGAGGCGAGGGTTGGTTGAGGGTACTGGGCAGGTGCGACTGTCCCTGAGTCATCCCCAACTGGTCACAGGAGTCATCATTGATGGGTGTGGCCTCTGAGAGGTGGAATGTGTCCCACCGCCCAGTGGCCTCTGTCCTGCTGCACTCCCCACTGCCACCTGTCCTCCAGCACAGCCCAGGAAAGATGGAGCAAAGCCAAGCTCCTGAAGAGGGCGTGGTCTCTCTGGAGTCAACACCAGGAAGGGCAGTTACACTGAGTTTTGCCGCCAGGAGGGCTGGGAGACTGCAGGGCAAAGTGAACCCCAGCTAATTTTGGCTTAATTAACCAATTACCATGGCCCCTAAGGCTTCTCATTTCCCATTCTCTCAATGGCTGCTTCATGCAAATGTGGGCTGTGGGCACTCACACTCAGGTCCCAGACAATATCATGGGGTGGGGGTGGGGCAGAACCCAGTCTCGGAGACACAGCAGTCGGGGGTGAGGGAGGAGACTGCGAGCAGGAAGGGTTGCCTCCCAGCATATCGTGGGGTCCCAGACCTTGTTAGGACAGGGCCAGAGGACCAGGCTGTCTTGTGAGTCACCTCAGGTCTGGCCCTCTGGGTGCACAGTATGGTGATCCCTGTATTGGCCCTAAGATGGAGAGATGTCACAGGTGGCCTATGAGAATGGGTGGAACATTCCATGGGGAGCTTGCTGGGCTTTGGGATCGGCCTCCATAGTACCCCTCCGAATTCTCACAGACACACCAGCTGGCCCTCCAGGGATGTGGGAGCCACAGGTGCGACATGTCTGGTCTCGATTGTGGGGTGGGGTGGGGTGGTGAGGATGGTCTGGGGCTGAGCCTATGGGGTCAGCCAAAAACCCCAAATCAGCTCACCATCCACCTCACATTCCCATCCACCTCAAAGCCCCGAGATGCCCTCTTAGTAACCTAAGGCCTCAGGTGCTCAGGTGGGGTTAATTTACGCAGGGAGGAGTTTCATCAACCAAAACTGGGGGTGGGGTGGGGTGGGGTGGCAGGGACAGTCAGAAGATGACAGTGTCGTGGCCACCTCAGGCCCAGCTATGTACACCACAAGCAGCGCACATCCTGGAGCTGATGCACAGCCTCACGGCCTGGTTTTCTGTCTGGGAAATGAGCGCCATAGTTCCTTCCTCACCTGTCCCTGTTGTAGACTGACAGGATAAGTGTGTGCCTGCTGCAGAAACAGCTGAGTGTCACACAGATGATAGTGTTGCCCTCGCCTGCTGAGCTGCACCCAGCTGCCTTCACCCTGTGCGGTCTCCCTGGGCCCATCCCCACCTCCAGGCACATCCCCTCTGGGCCAGTTAAGGCTGGAGGGGCTCAGGTGACCCCACACTCCTGGCTCGCTCACCTCCTCACCACCCTTCCTTTCTCTCCTCTATCTGCAGACGAATAAGGCCGTGGCTCAAGGTGACTTCCACCAGGCTAGCACCAGCTCCCGGCGCGCCCTCTTCCTGGCCGTGCTGTCCATCACCATCGGCACGGGCATCTACGTGGGTGTTGCTGTCGCCCTCATCGCCTACCTCTCCAAGAGCAACCACCTGTGAGCTTCCTGCAGGCACCAGGAGGGACTGGCACATGGGGGCAGCTCAGGTGGTGTCGGATGACACCCGATGGCTGGAGTTTCCACCATGACTCCCTGATTTCTCCTTTAACTCCATCGTCACAGCACTGCGTGGGCTCTGCACATATGGGCTCCAAAGCCCCTGGCCACAGGGCTGTCTGGGATGGGTCCAGGTGGAGGGATGACATTTCGCTCTCTGCAGCTGCCATGCCTCATATGCCACCACATTAGCAATATACAAACAGTAAAAAAGAAAAAAAAGTATTTATTTTTATGGAACATGGTCAAGGTGCAATAGGCTGAGGGCAGGGACTGTCTGCTCTGCTGTTGGTGGCTGCCTGGCTTCTCCACATCCCAAGCATCCATGAGACTTTCCTCCCAGAAGACAGAAAATGGGGCTGGAGATGAGGAGCACAGAACAGTTGTAGGGGACTCTGCGTTACCATCTGAAGAAGGGTCTGGCCCCAAGGATGTGAAGCCAGAAAGACATGGCTCTGGTCCTGAGGCCCCTCATGCCCTCCATGCTGCCCTGAATGTGTCACTGCACAGCCACCCACTCACAGCAGTGCGAAGCTTTGGGCTATTGGGGAGGTGGTCACGGCGGGCAACGTAGGCTCCTAGAAAATGGCCCCACATTGGTGCCAGGAACTGGAGGCAAAAGAGCCAGGAAGACCTAAGATGCCCATGACGTGACTGCCCTCATGATGCTCATCCGGTCCTAAGCAATGACAATGACAGCGCCAACCCTAGACACAAGACAGGCCTTACTCTGTCAACTCAATGAATCACTATTTTCTTGTCATTTTTTAAGTGCAACTCTTGCTTCATGCTGCTTCAGTTACCAGATGAATGCTGAGAAATAAGTCACCACAGACATTTTAATACCATCTCACAGCTGTTTTACGGTGTTCATTATTTAACAAAAGTTATCTTTTAGCTTATGTGCGTGTGACAATTTCTTTCTGGTGCACAGCAGTGGCAAGGTTCCCTTCTAGCCAGGTCCCAGGAAGGAATCTTGACATCCCTAGCTGCTTCCATCCCGCCCTGAGCCCCATTAGTGGGCATCACACTGGTCCCCTCATGATGGAGAGGCCCTGGCTCTAGGTAGGGTCTACAGCTGGCATCTGAAACGTCCTTCTGCCTGGATCCTGGAACCCCAGCCAGAGGTCCTGGGGATGGGTCAGATGCAGCCCAGGGAATCCAGGGTGCAGCAAAGGTGAGACCTCCCTGTCCTGACCCAGGACCACAGGTCAGATGTGCCCCACCTGCTACCTTCCCCTTCCCCTTGCACACTTGATATTATAGAAGTTATTAGCACTGTCTTCCTAGGTCAGATCCCATCTCTGCCTAGCACTTGTTATCCGGAAGTGCACTGTAAGACCTCATCCTGTGAAGACCACCTAGAAGCCCAGGCATCCCAGGTATCTCAGTCACTGGGACAAAACACCCAATACCCACAACTTGATGGAGGAGAGGTTTATTTTGGTTCACATTTGTAGAAGTCTTGGTCCTTGCATGGTTGTCTGGTTCCAATTCAGATGGCAAAGGAGGCTGGCAGAAGAGAAGCTGCTCAAGCATGGGAGCCAGGAGCAGAGAGCAGAAGGAGGAGCCATGGAGGGAGGTGCAGCCTTCCAGGCTATGCCCCAGTGACTGCCTCTTCTGGCCTCACCTCCTAACATGAATCAGCGATGAGCCCCCTTTCTCTAGTCACCTTTCTAAAGCCCCACTTTTGAGCATGTGCAGCTTTGGGGACAGCCTCAACCTAAACCATAGCACCAGGAGAGTCAGAGGTCCTGGCCATAGAAAGTGTGGGCTTGGGTCCAAACCAAGTTGGATTCAAATCCAGCTGTGCCTCTTTCTAGCTGTGTGATCTTGGACACAGGCCTGCACCTCTCTGACCCTCACTTCAAGGCAGGACAGTTGATAGGTAGAATTGCTGGGGATGCTCAGGCCCAGAGCTCAGCACCTGGTGGGGCAGGTATTCATAGATAAGGCATCCTTGGGAAACCATTCATAGCTTGCCCGTAACTTTCCACCTTTCAGCACAATCTCTCAGGGCTCAGCCATCATGGGTAGTTGTATAAAATGAGTCTGTCTGTATTTTTCCTGAGTTGATCCATCACAGCTTAAGTCCAGAGTCCACTGTTCCAGCTCTTTAGCTTTGGTACTGAGTAGAAAGTGCCTCAGTGTACCCTACCCAGCTGCAGCCCTGGAAGTAGCTCCAGGATAAGGTGTCTGGGGTGTGGGGGACCTAGGGATTCTAAAGATTTCCCCAAAATCCACAGGAGGAGCAGAGGGAACAGATGTGGTATCCAGGGGAACTCAGCAGGGGACATCCTAGGGTGGTGCTGACTGGGCTTGCTGAGAATCATAGATTGTGGGCTGATTCCTTTCTGTTTGGCCTTGCTGCTTATTGTAGCCAGGGTTTTCAAGGGAAATAGATTTAATACAGGACACAAAATTTACAGGATTATTTTATAATAGCCACTCAAAAAGTCAAATGCAGAGGAGTGCAAAAGATCTAGCCAAGCACTATAGACCCTAAGAAACTTCCAGCCAAGGGACTGGATCCCACAGCAGTGTCCCACACCAGTTCAGCTGAAGGCCTAGAGTCTAAGGCAGTGTCCTCCATGAGTCCTGCCAGTGTCTAGAGCCCATGGCAATAACTCATGCTTCTCCGTATCAAGGATCTGCACCAGGAAGGCCCAAAGGCCAATAGTGGAAGCTGGAAAGCCTGCGCCCATAGGGTGAAGGATTTGTGCCACCAGGCTGAGGGATCTACACTGAAGCCAGGAAGTGATTGTTCATAGCAAAGATCAGAGCTCCCCTGATGAGAACAGTAGCTATCCCTGGCAACAGTGAGGACCTAAGCTGCTCGGATGATGAGAGAACAGCTAAGTTTGCATCAGGAAAATCACCCATAGCAAGCTTCTCCAAGAAAATCAACAACCAATGATCTTTCCCTCCAATCCCTTTTTATGCTGTTGGCCACAATCCTCAGGTGGGTCTTCCAAGCCCAAACCATGATGATTCAGTTCACCTGTCTGCTTTCCTTTGTATCTGAAAACCCCTGGGGCTGAAAGATTTCTTGAAGAAGCTTCCAGAAGACCAGGAGACAAGGAGGTGCACACAGGGCTGGGTCCCTGCTGTCAGAGTCACCCCCTGACACTCTCAAACCATTTCTCATGCAGACTGGGGGCAAACCCATGGCAGGAGGGGGCACTGAGAGCTGTTATTGGTCCCTCTGTGCAGCCAGGGCCCTGGGGTTCACAGCCGCTGTCTTGGCCACACTTGCTGTAGGCTCAGGCAGAGAGAGCGCTATGGTGGGGTGACACCAGTCATAGGACAGCACAGGCACAGTAGCTTAGACTGGGCATGGTGCCCACAGAGATATGGCACAGGATAGGCCACAGACCATTTGCATTCAAGAGTATCCACCCAGGGCTGGAAGGGCATCCCCAAAATGGACCTGACATCTCCTCTAGCAACACTGCTACCTCTACTTAGAACCTCTCAGTCTCTTGATAGAGTCAGTTCTGAAGCTGGTTTTGTTCACCAACACAGCCCTTTGGCCAGTGAGCCCATGGGATAGTATCCCTGCCAAGTATCCCTGGGGCTGGGGATTGCCTGCCTGCCCCAGCCCTGCCTGTCATCCAGCTCCTAGAAGAAACAGAGATCCCAAGGCCACCCAGTATTGGTGATCCCATTTCCCTGGGTGGTTGCTGAGCTGCCACAGTGATCTCATCACTCACCAAAGTGTCACCCACTGTGGTGGGCATAGTAAGGCAAAAACTCGCTTCAAATGGGCCATCAAAATCACCTTAAAAGGTGAAATTACCTTAAATCAACTTAAAGGTGCCTGAATCATCAGTTCAGTGCCTGTCCTTTAGTCCCAAGTCATAGACATCATTCTCAATTTAACTATAAGGTAAGTATGACATTGACCCTCTCAGGGTAAGTGGAGGGCGGGACAGCTGCCAAATGGCCAGTTCTTTACAGATGTCATCTCTGCCATCTCAAGGTCTGACCATATCCCAGAGGGAACATCACGACTTAGAGAGATGAAAAATCTGACCCAGGTTACATAGCTAATAAAACCAGAGCTGGGCCTCTGCTCTTTGTGAATCCAAAGTCAGCATCTTACTGGCTGCCAACTCAGCGTGCACTAACTCAGCCTGCTTGGTACCATTCACCACACAAAGTGGAAGGGTGGCTTTCTAGGTCTCTGCAGGTGTCACGTGTCAGGTCTGAAGTCCTGAGACCAAGGAGGCCTGGCCTACTCCCTCCATGGCCCTGGACTCGGTTTTCTGCTCCCTCTCCCCTTGCATAAAGAGAGTTGATCAAATTTCATTCTGAGCCTGGGAACATCAAAGTCTTGCCCCACATCCAAGGGGAAAGCAGATGGGCATCCATGAGTCTAGAGGGCCAGCAGCACACAGCTGTGGTGGACCCTGTCACATGCCCCCTCCTCTGAAATCCCACCACCACCCCTCAAGAGAGGCTCAATGTTCAACATTTCCGCTTTCCAGATAGTGAAACTGAGGCTTCTCAGGCTAGTACACTGCCTGGATGGCAGAGCAGGTCTACAGTGGATCAGAGTCAGAGTTCCAATTCACATAGCTCCAGCAAGAGACCTAGCCTCCCCACTTCGGCATGGCTGCCCTGCATCAGGGAGAGAAGAAGACCTAGACTCCAGTGCCCAGAGGACGCAAGGCCTTCAGAGGGCAAAGGTGCACCAGAAGAAGGAGCCATCCCAAAACACACCATCAAGGGACAGCTCATGTCTGCCCAGGACAGGTCCTCCTCAAGTCTCCTGGAGGGGTTTGCTGGGGTGGCCATGACAAAGTGGTACAGACTGAGGCTGAGACAACAGAGGCGTATTTGCCCACCTGGAGCCAGAGCCCAAGTCAAGGTAGCCACAGTGGGGCTGGTGTCTCCCTGAGCCTCTCTCACCGACAGCCACGTTCTTCATGTCTCCACATGCCTGTGTCTACCTGGCTGGACACAGCACCAGGTGAGCAGAGAGGAGGGCTGGAAAGAGGGTTGCTGAGTGATGTATTCCTGGGCTGGTGAGGTGCTGTGGAGGAAGCCCAGAAACACTCTGCAGCATGTGCAGCCTGCTGAGGTCCCACCTCCAAGCCCCCGAGGGAAGAGCCACCAAGGTCTCCTAGGCTGCAGTCACCACGGCCTACTTGGGCCCTGCGCCCCCACTGAAGCTGCGAGCAGTTTGGCCAGCCACCAATGCTGGCATCTGAGCTGCAGCCCTGCCCCTGTGGGGCAGCCACAGCCAGTAAGCAACCTCAGGGCCTGGCCACTGCCCCAAGCAGGGTTCTCCCTGGAAAGGAGCCCACAGCCACTGAACTCCCACTTCTGGGGGATCCTCCTGCCCTGCTGGCCTCCCTGCCACTGGCTCACAAACATCTCTCCCACCCTGTCTCCTTCCCTCCAGTGCCACTGCCTAAGAACCAACCCTGCAGCAACCCTGGGTGGGGCTTGGGAAGAGGACTTTGACCTGGGTGGGGTGAGGCTCAAAGAGATGAAATACACACCAGGATCCCCAAGCAGCTGAAGGCCAGCCCCAGACTCACCACCAAGGGCCACAGTCCTGGCCGCAGGACTCCCACCCTCCCACGGTGTCCCCTCCAGGCTCCTCGGCCTTTCCCACACTGTCCTCTGTTCTCTTCTTCCCTTCTCAGTATGAGAGGCCCTGCTGCGAAGGGGTCTGCAGAGGGCTGTGGAGCAGGTGCAGGTGTTGCACTCTGGAGGTTGCTGTCTTTTTCTCAGACCATACTGACTCATCTGGATGAAGACAAGTGTGGTGGACTTGGCAAATTTACTCAGAATACACAGCTCAAGGCAAATCTTGTCTCTCCGTATTAGAGTGCATAGCTTGTGTGTTCGGAAGACCCCTATTAGTGACCCAGAGTGGAAAAGTGCAGGT